CCTTACATTTACTTACTTAATTCTCACAACAACCTAACGAGTAGGTACAACTATCTCCATTTTATGCGAGAAGAAAAACAGGCTCAGGAACCCCGTCCGGGGGTCACAAAGAAACGAACGCCAGCTCCCGAGCCTGAGCCCCGCGGAAGCCCCGCGCCCTCCCGCGCCGCTGGCTCCCCCTGGTGGTGAGCAGGGGGAGCGCCAGCAGCCGCCGGGGCAGCCGCCGCCGCCGGGGCCCGCGAGGCCACTCCGTAAATCCCTGGGCTGAGGAAACACAATGATGGACAGGACAGACACCCCCGTGCCGAGGGACAAGCAGAAACATGGCAGGCTCAGGATGAGAAGCGACAGACGGGCAAAGGGCGTGTGCGTCAGGGCTCGGGGGAGGGAGCAGTGCGTCACAAGGGCCAGGGGCGCGGGGCTGACCTTTCAGCCTGGCCGGGGCTGCGAGGCACGAGGCCGGAGGGGCAAGCGGGGGCCGCGTCGCAGAGGGCAACCCAGGCGGCGATCCGGGCAGAGGGGGTGTGCCCGCAACGTGTGGGCGCCAGCGTGCGGCGGAGAGAAGCGGCGGGAGGCGGCGGATTGCTTCGCCTGGGCCACGACTGCAGCGGGGGTGGGGTGGGGGGACAACAGAAACCTATTTCCTCACAGTTCTGGAGGCTGGACGTCCAAGACCGTGGTCTCAGCAGGGCTGGCTTCTGCCGAGGCCTCTCTCCTTGGCTCTGACAGAGCTGCCTCCCTGGAGGCAGGGGTGACCATCCAACCACGGTGGGTTCAGGAGAGAATGGGAAGGGAGGAGGAATCAGAAGCGTCAAGGGTAAACAACTCTTCTGAGAAATTTTGCCATCAAGGAGAGAAGAAAATAGCACAGTAGTTCAAAGAGTGGGAGCACTTTTTTAAGACAGGAGATTTTACAGCGTATTTGTAAGCTAATGGGAATAATTGGTAGGAAGAGAAAATTAACAGTACTGAAAAAAATAATGGTAGGAGTTAATGCAAAGCTGGAGGGTTGGCCTTGGACAGGAGGAGGGGGGTTCATTCTCAGCAACAGGGGCAGGCCTTCCGGGCACCAGTGCAACTGGGTTAGCAGGTTGGTGGACATGGAAGTTCTCCTCTGATAACTTTTATTTCCTTAGTGAAATTAAGAAACTAATTAGCAGGGCAAAGAGATATTGAAGATGGAGGATGAGAAGATACGAATGAATCCAAGAAATAAACAGGTGGGATTGAGAGAATTAACTGATTAGACATAGGAAGATGGGAGAGGAAGGAGACAAGGATGGATCTCTAGTTTAGCAACTGAGTGGACAGTGGGGCTGTCTTTCATTCAGATAAGGGGGGCTGCGGGAGGGGCAGGTCTGTGAGGAAAGAGGGAAATTTCTGTGCCTGTGGGCCATCCAGCTGGATGCGAGCGTCTGAAGCTCAGAAGGAGGCACCCGAGCTTGAGAAGCAGACACGGGGGTCGGTCGGCAATGTAAAGGCAGCAGGAGGCAGAGGCCTCTGTGCTGGCTGTTTTCTCTGAAAAGTAAATGGGTTGGTGGTTTGAGATCAGAGAAAGTTTGAAATAGATTCTGGGGAAGAATGAGAAAATTAATAAGGACATAGGGGGATTGTCAGGGAACCCGGGGGCCTAGGTCCAGGTGGAGAGCTGATGCTGCGGGCAGCCCCAGCCCAGCACGGAAGCCTCGCCCACGCTCCTGGCACTGCCACCACCAGGACGGAGTGTCCGCCCTCTCACTGCTCGGCAAGGTGACTGACCTGCAAGCCGACCTTTCACGCAACGCCCTTCCTCCTTGCTCACCTGCTTAACTCCTAGTCACTCTCTCCTCTCCTCAGATCAGGACAGAACCTCCTCGGAAGCCTTTCTTAACTGCCCCACCCCAGCCCTTGTCAGCTGAGGCTGAGGGTTTCACCTCTGTTCCCAAATGGCCCCCGATGTCCCTTATCACAGAGTGAAACAGGCCGCTCTGTCTTCACTGATCCACCTGCCTGCCTCTCCTACTGGACTGAAACAACTTGAGGGCAGACAGTTTTCACCTTTATAACGAGTGCTGCTTAATAGCTGCTCAGTATCTGTTTGTAAAAGGAAGACAGGAAAAAAGAACTGAGGTCTCAAACCACACACAATTCCACGGGCCATGATGCCCCCGGCCGATGTCACCAGCAGGTGTTCTGGCCGTGGCAATTAAGCCACAAAACAGGATGCATCCTTTTGGGCTCCACGTTACCCCCCTTTTCCTTTCAAAAAGAGGACTCAGTATACCTGCACCCTTACCTTGTGCTCAAGTCCATTAACCGTTCTTCCCGCCTCTCCTAAACGCAACAGGCAGAGGCACTGTGTGAAGGTATTTTATTTTAAAAATCAGCACACCCAGCTTGTAATATACATCAGTCACTCTTCATTTCCACGGCCCATCGCCTGTGCCTGAGAGCAGAGTGTGCGGTACTTCTCTGGGTTTAAGGTGTAAACCGACATGGTGTTCAAGAACTTGTCCAGTGGACAGAGCCGGTCAGGGCAGCCTCTCGGCACCTGCTCCTGTGGAAGAGACGTAACTCAGCAGGGTCACCGAGGAGCCTGGCCAGCTGCTTCCAGCTGCACGCAGAGATCTGGAAGGCTCTGACCCAGTGGTGTGTCTGTGTCCACACAGAACAGCGAGGAAGGTCCCATTAACCAGTCAGCTTCCAGAAGAAGAGCACGATGCCCTGCTTGTGAAAGTCACTCCAGAACTACCGGGTAAACGGACTCGGAAGACACATCCGTGCTACAGCCCTGAGCCACGAGGGATGACGGCCTAACTGCCGGAGGGCTCGAGCCTCTGCCCTGCAGGACAGCACCCTGCTGCAGCAGCCGGGGCACCGGGAGCGCTGACAGTGCACACTACCCCCCAGGGACACCGACACTGACTTTCAAAACAGGCCTCACAGTCAGGATGTTCCATCCTGGCACACACTCAGGAGAAGAGGAGGGCAGTCCTGTTCTTAGTAGGAGTCTGGAACAGGACGGGATGAGGCCCGAGTCCCACCCTGCCACTACGTGCCAAGTTCCACCTTATCCCTGGGCCACAGCCAGGAGAGGACTCAGAGGCTCATGTACCAGTGGAGCCCCACGGGGCTGGGGCAGGGGGACGTGGCGCTAAACCAAGCGGGCGGGGGTGCCTGGCCGCCAGCCCTCCCGCCGTGGACGCTGTACCTTCCCCTGGTAGTAGAGCCGCACAAACCACTCCCCGGATTCCTGGTGCTGGTGGAGCTCCATGGTCAGGTCACCAGCAAACGGGGGCCATTTGTGGTCAAAAATCCCCAGGGCCAGTAGGAGAGGCATGAGGGTCACGTCATGAGCCGCATACAGGTACAGCTTTCTGCAGGAAGAGAACAGTTCTCCACAGTTCTTTACCTGGACTCTGGCAGCCAGCACGCTGCCTGCCTCCTCTGAGTGAGGAAACTGGGTGACAACTAGAAATCAGGGGAGCCTGGTATAAAAGTCCTTTGAAGTAGATGGTGGGGAGAACCCTTGCCCCCGCCCCATGTTTTCAGGAAGGATCCCCACTGGAGTAGCTCTCCTGGCTCTGCCCGGCCCACCTACCCGCCAACCCCTTCCCTGGGGAGTTTTGAAGAAGAAACTGGGCGCGTGCAGCCCAGCCCCACCTCCTGCTCTCTCTGGGACTGCCTGCCTGCGGCCAACGTTCCACCTGTTCTCAGCCGTGCACCGAGTCTCCTCGAGGAAGCTCTCCTTGTTAGGGAAGCTTGCAGTTTGGGGGAATGAAGTTCATTCAAAAGGAATATTAATAAGCCTGTTTGGCCCTCGGTATACTCTCCAAATGGCTTTAGTCAGTAATAAAGTTGCCATGTTCACCTACACCTGCCAAACCCCTGTATCTGTTTCTCGGGAAAGAGCCAGGATTTCACCTGCGGAGCCCCAACCTTGAAGACCAGCACTGGGCCCTGCAGGAGTCTACAGACACAGGGCCGAGCGGGCAAGGTGGCAAAGGCCCGGGAGAAGTCCCTTGTCACTGCAGGTCTGGGAACGGCCAGGAAGGGCATTCACATGACTTGCTATTATAAATCTTGGCCCCAAGTTCCTGAATGTTCCTATTTCAACTCGCTGTCCTCCACCTTTCCCACACTCATCGCATATTTCTAGCTATGGACAATTCTCTCTCAAGAAGGCAGAGGACAACAGTGCTTCTCTGGTACCAGGGAGCTGACAAACCACCTGGGGGTCTTGTTGAAATGCAAATTCTGATTCAGTGAGTCCGGCTGAGGCCAGAAAATCTAACAACCCAGGTGATGGTGAAGCTGTTTATCTGCGGAGCACACGTGGCTTAGCAAGTGCCTAGGACACAGAGCAGTCCAAACCCGTGGCCCCTAACCTGGGGTTCCAGGCATGACAAACGGGGCAGTGGAGGTGCATGAGCCACTTCCAGCATCTTTAGATGCTCAGTAGAAATCCTACCCTTCTATATACTCGATGAAGGTGTTTAAACTAAACAATCTGTTAAGCAATTATCATTGTTGTGGGTGATTATAATACCAAATCTGTGTGACAGCACAATTAGCTGTTCTGCTGGACACATGCTCAGTTAGTGAAAAACAATGGAAAAATAAATTTAGGGATACTTTTTACTACAATCAAAATTTCAAAACATGGTAGGATAGGGGTGGCAGGAAGGAAGGTAGAAACGTTGTGACTGTCTGGGACTCGTGGCCTCAAACATCCACTTTCAGTCACTGACAGCCTGGATCTTGCCCCCATAAAACCTGGGTTGCCCGCTGCAGCCAGAGGCTGCCCTCTGCCCTCAGCTGCGCAAAGCTGCGTTGCTGGGCCCTGTACCTGGTCTTGCCGGGGGGCGTGGCGGGGTCCACGGCGCTCAGCAGGTTGCTCTCCAGGATGTGCAGGAACGGGCCTACTGCCATCTGAAGACTCTCCCTACAGTGAGCAAACGACATTCAAGCACCCAGGGGGCCCTCGGCACGCAGGGGGCACAGGCTGGCTCTGCCCCCTTGCACCTCACGAGCCCAGTCAGAGCTGCGAGAAAGCCAAGCAATGCGTGAGGGACAGTGACAGGCAGCGAGGGGAGAAGCAGCACCGCCTCCGGTGTCAGGGCCCTCCGTGCACAGACGCCCCAGCAGTGCCAGCACCCGGACACAGTGAGCAGGGAGGGCCGCGGGAGGGGTCACCGGGACAAGCCATGGAGAACCAGGCCCTTTGCACTACACGAACAGGACTGGGATGGACAAGGTGTGATGGATCCCAAAAGTTCCAGAAGGCCCTTAGAAAGGCAGCCTGAAGGAACATTGCAAATTATGCTTCCTGCCCCGCGTGCCAGCCCCCCTTCTTTGGAGTCTAGACCAAAGGACGTTTGTCACTTATCTGACATAACCCGGAGCTCAGGCCTGCTCCCACACTCTCCCTCTCAGGCTGGTCACGTCCTGATCACAGGGGGTTACCTCAACTCAAAGCGTGTGTTCTCACAGCAGCAAACAAAGCAGGAAGATGAGGGCCAGGAAGCAGCAAAAAGACTTGGTTTGGGTGCCTCTCACTTTTTATCAAAGAGAAAAAGCCCCTCTCCCAGAACTCCCAGAACCCCATCACCGACAAAAGGAAACAGGGCTGCCGCACCTGGCTTAGACCAATCCTGCTTCTCGGCGCCTGGGTGCACGGCCACCTTTACGAGCCAAGGAAGGCCGGAGCAGTCCCGAGGAGCAGGCAACCGATACCGTGAGTAACACAGACTCTCCAGAAGGATGTGCGCCGGCCAAGCCAGGCTGCATGGCCTTGTGACATTATAACCATTTGTCCTTGAAGAAAGCTCAGCTTTATGACAGCAGGGCTAAAGGAAAGGAGGACGGACCAGCTCTTGTATAAATTTTTTTTTTACCAGGAGAAAGCAAATGGTGGCCATGGGCCGATTCCAACCTGTCTGCCTGTGTTTGTGAACAAACGTTTTCCTGGAACACAGTTCTGCCTGCTTGTCTGCGTGTCACCTAACGGCTGCTGTCGTGCATGTGGGCTGAGATGAGTAGCTGCAGCAGACAACGCATGGGCCCCACAGCCTGAAACATTTACCAAATTGTGTGTGCGCGCGCGTGTGTGCGTGCGTGTGCCCTGGTGGAGGGGAAGGCAGTAAGCGACAATCCAGGTCTGGCGGCTGGAGCCTGCGAGGTGCCCTAGGCACATGCGGAGCGGCAGGCTGCCTCTGCGCGGGAGGAAAGCTGCGGGGCTCGTACACAGCAGACCAGGCGAGTTCTTGAAACATGAGCTGCTTTCTCCTCCCCGTCATCTTCCCGGGACTGCCCTCTCCTCCCACCTCCCCTGGACCTCTCCCACATCACCTATTCTCAGTATGAGCTGAATGCTTTTAACCAATCAGAAAAAGGTGTTTTTCTGAACTCTGTTCAGAGAGAAACTCTCTATTCTGGTAGTCAGGAAACAGGTCTTCAAAGAACAGAGCCCTAAATGCCAGTCAAACAGAGAAAACAGAATTGAGAGTCAGAAGATCTGGTCCGAGTCCCGCCCCCGCCACTTGCTAGCGGGGCCCTAGGTGCGCTTTTTTCATCCCTAAAGCCGGGCTGTGGACCCTGTCGGGCTAATGACGCCTACTTCACGCAAGAACAGAAAAATGATTTGTAAATTGTAATGTGATGAATTAAGTGAGCAATAATTATTCTTCCCTCAGCTTCCCGCCGCCACCCAATCCTTTGAAACTTAAAGCAAAAGGGAAAAGTGATTAAGAGAAACTGAGCCAGGAGGTGACTCCTGGTTCTGTGTAGCAGTGAATGGAAGCCCCAGGTCACCAGACTCAGCTCCACAAATGGGAGGTGCTGGTGCTGAGTCCGTTCGGAAGGCCAGCAGGATGGGGTGATCTCAGCCTCTCACACTCTGGCAGCTGGGAGCGGGCCTGAGGAGCCGCCTCCCCACACACTGGGAGGCCTGACCGAGTGTGACTTTATGCCCCCAGCCAAAGAGGCCCCTCACCTGTCTTCCCTTTGCAGGACGTACAAGGCTGTGTCCACGGCTCTCTGCTCGATCATCCGTGCAAATCGCTTCAGCGTGGGGCAGCTCGGGAGGCCGTGCTCCTGGAAGGACGGCAGGCGCTGTTGAGGAAAGCCACGCCTGTCCTCTGCCCAGCCTGGCATCCCGAGCCCTGCCGCCGAGCCCTCGGGGCCTGTCTGCTCCTGGGGAGGGCTTAACAGCTCAGAAATCTAAGTCCCCAAAGCCCAAGGGCTGAAGCTATTCCTTGAGATCTGAAGGCCCAGGAAAAAAAAGTGCTTTTCCTCCCTTTCTGATGCTCCCCATCAACTACAAAGTAAAAAAAAAAGTATTTTTTTAAATAAAAAAAGAAATTGAATAAAATACAAGGCAGGGAACTCATAAATTTCTACTTAGTCTTCACTTCCCCAGAGTGATTTCTAAAAGTATGCCACATAAATGTATAAACCCATGTTTTATAACCTTAAATCTGTTTTATACATAAGCATAAGGTGCACTTCTGCCTTCGGGGTGCACTGCCATCTTCACAGGGGGAGGAAGGAGGACCCAGGCTGCCTTCAGGCATCTGACTTTTGAATCTAGTGCAGCATTTCCCATTGTGTGGTCTTCAGTCTTTATTAGATAAAAAGATTCTATGGCTAAATAAGCTTGAGAAAAACAGACTCTAAGATGAACCAGGCCCCCTTACTACAGGCCTCTCAGATCCTTTCACACGCTGATGTGCATACAGACTCTCCAAGAAGAGCTACGGGAAAGAGGGATCCAAAAGCTTAGATAATGACCCCTCCCCTCCTGTCACCCACCCCTCCCCAGCCTCCCACAGCGCACACGCTCACATCACGCGTGTCCTGGGGAACATGCTTCAAGAACCTCTGAGCGGGGAGGGTAGACAGCTCCGCGGTAGAGCACATGCTGAGCATGCATGAGGTCCTGGGTTCGATCCCCAGTACCTCCACTAAAAAACACATAAATAAGCCTAGTTACCTCCCCCTACCCCAAAACTAAATAAAATAAAAAGAAACTGCCAACTTTAAAAAAATAAAATAAAAATGTGATATTTTAAAAAAATCCTCAATGAAAAGAAAAGAAAAGAAAAGAAAAGAAAAGAGCTCTGCTCTAGAGTCACAGGTCTGTGCTCCTAAGCCTGGTGAGGTGTCCCCCCGGACTGTTCCCCGTCCTTCAGCTCCTGTATCCATTTTGTCTGCAAGTCCCATCGCAGCTGCCTCCATGCCTGGAGGCCTCCACCCGACTCCTCTCCACCTGGTTCTAACCCAGGAGCCAGCCCACCGAGCCTACCCCAGGCTCGCCCACCCCCAGCCCGAGGAGGGCAGCCATCCCACCTGCTCAGCAGCCATGTTGTCCAGGAGGATGAGGAAGTCCACTCCATCGCTACCAGCAATGCCCATCTCTTCCTTCACTTTTTTCAAGTCCTCTGAGATTCCTGGCTGCAAACAAGCAGCCTGCCTCCGGCCTCTGTCAAAAAAATAAGTTATTCCTTTTATTGCGTAGTGATTAAGTTTACAAAGTGTATCACATTTATCATTTGGGATCCCATTTAATCCTCAACAACAGCTCACTTGAGTTAGCAAGTATCATTGCCATTTTATAGATGGGTAAACTAAGGCTCTATGAGATCAAATGATGTGTAAGTTAGCGAGTACCAAGGCTAGAATGATAACCTGGGTTTTCCAAATCCCAGTCTAGCATTTCCTTCTGTTAAACCAAAATCAATGCAAGCATGGCCAGGTCTGCTCAAAGACAGCATCTCCTTCTTCTGAGGCACACACACTACATGGTCTCAGTGCGGCCCAGAAATACCTGGAAACTGGAAAGTGCCATCAGCCCTAACCAATCTCCCCTACATGGCAGCAGGCTGGTGGCAGCAGGGAAACGTGTCTTCTGCTTGTCCGTCTGGATTTGCAGCTCGATGACTGGCTTTCTCATCTTTTATGTAAGTTTCTTCTTCTGCCTCATCTGAGAGGCCAGGAGCATTGAGAGGATAATGCTGGTGAACAGCACAGCCCCACTCACAGCTGTGGACCCATCTCTCCAACCCAGTGCGCGGCCCTCCCCAGGCTTCCCGCACCTTCACTGTGAGCGAGAGCGGCCTCATGGCCTGTACAGCTGACATCGGACCCGAGCTTGATGCACCCTCTCCCGTCCCTCAGCCACCAGCGCGGTCAGCGTGGGCAGGCCCTCGGCCCAGGCAGAGCCTGCCGGCAAAGGCAGTAAAATGCTGTCCGTCCCCGACTGGAGAGCAAGAACCCGGGGCACTAACCTGGTTCTCTCCTGCAGGTTCCAGCAGTTTTGGTAGTTTGGGTACAAGACTTCGGAGCTCACTTCATCAGTGTGGATGACGATGGGTCCTGGAAGGAAGGCGGGAAGCACAGGAGGAAGAGGCTTCAGCTTGTCCTTCCCAACATCTCCACCCGCTTCTCCTCGTCTACACAGACGGAGCTGCTCCCAGAGGCGGGGCATCAAGGCTGCTCCTTAAGGACAGCGAGCGCTTTCACCTGCCCTGGCCTTGCCCACAGGTGCTCCCCTACGGGCTGGGCAACGGAGAGCGTGGGCAGCAGCCCTGTTCGATCCAGCACAGCCCCTCCCACTGGGCCACCTACAGGCCAACGCAGGTCCAGGCTCTGATCAGACTGGCACCTCCGTGACCCATTCCAAAAAACGTCTGCCTCAAGGTATTGCCTGCCAGCATTTGGGCTTCTAATAAAGAACGGGCCATCCCTGACCTTAACAGAACTAGGTAACTTCCTTGCTTCCCAAAGTCCAATCCTATAGGCCAATATAGTGACTTCCATGACAATCTGAGGAAGATGGCCACAGGGCCACATCCTCTCAGACCCCATAGCCTTGCCCAGAAGAAAAGCCAGGCCTCTAGATGAGCTACCTAGAACCAAAGGTTAGACTGCAAACAGCGCTCCTTGCAGACCTTGCAGCAGCTTGCTCCTGCTCAGAGCTCACAGGATCAGTGCCCATGGAAGGTGCTCCAACACTTCCCACGCTTTACTCTGTGCCAGAGATGGCAATGGCCTGTGGCAGCCTCCTGTTCCACACGGCTCAACGCTCACCTTCTCTGATGGTAAGAGAAACAGCTCCTGTCAGCAGGTTTTGGAATTCGCTGAGGTCAACCCATGGAGTGACTGGGTGCATCTGAGCCCCAAAGAGCTATGATTCTCAAACAAATGATTGACGGTCAAAACCCCAGGACTTTAAAAGTAGCCTGCGGTGACTTGAGCAGAACATCAGAATTCAGACACACTTTGTTGGTCTGGACAGAAGGAAATCAGGCTGACGGTCATGAGTTCAGCCCTGATTCTACAGCTAAGCAGCAGGATGGCCTCGGGAAGTCACCTCCCTCTTCTGGGGCTCATGTGTCAACTGAAGGGGTGAGACTAATAGCAGCAATTTTCAACTGTTTCTAAAGCAGAGGAAGCTTTCCTTCCTCCCACGATTAGGTCAGGTAATAAAAGAAAAGGTGCTGGTGGCTTCAAGGTAGGGTCCAAAGCACAGTCCACTTGCATGCTCCACCCCCCTCCTTCTCTGCAGCTCCCCGCCCCTCTGAAGAGCTCGGGTTCTGCAGGACATGTTGTAAACAGAATAGACCCTCTCCAGACACACACGTCTTCCAAGAAGCAGTAGAGCAGAAAGATGAAGAATACGTGCAACCAGACTGCTAGAATTTGAACCCCAGCTCCTCCATTGACCAGCTTTGTGTCCCTCAGAAAGTCATTTAGCCTCTCTGTGCCTTAGTTCTCTTCTCTGTGAAATGGGGATAATGTTACCTACCTCACAGGGTTATCACAAAAATTAAACAAGTTAATACATGCAAAGCTCTTAGAACAATATCTGGTCCTTTAAATGTTAGAATAATAACAATGACTTAAATCTCCTGTTAACACATGATAATTCCTATCTGGTGCCTGACTTTAGTGTCTGGATGTTGGACTGACAGTTCCTTTTTCTTTCTTTCTTTTGTTGGGGAGGGGTTAGGTTAGTTAGTTAGTTAATTAATTAGTTAATTGATTTAATGGAGGTCCTGGGGATTGAGTCCAGGACCTCGTGCATGCTAGGCACACGCTCTACCGCTATGCTGTACCTCCCAGGATCTATGATAAATAAGGCACGTTGGAGTTGGCACTCAGATATGTGTTGAATGAATAAACCAATGACCAAATGTTACCTCCAGCTTCCCCCCACAGCCTGACTCCTGCAGCTTATACAAAGCCTTCTGGGACGTCCCTGTAATTTTACTCCATCTAAAGTCACACCACATCTATCAGTGGTAGCATCCTGGGGGGGTCCTTTTGTCCATTCAAATCCCTTGATACGAGCCAAGGCATGGAAGTGGCTGGGACAGAAGTCAAACTGGAGTGTGAGGACGTCTGGGTCCAGCGCAGGGAGCCGCCCCCAGGCAGACACAGCAGGGGCTGGTGAGGGGCCCACTTCCTTCGCTACTGGAAACCTGGGCAGCCTCCATCTGAGACCTGCCTGTAGGTCAGGGTGTTACCAAGAAACATCTTTCCTACCTCAGCTATACCTTAGGCGGTTCTAAGAAGAGGACATCTGCCTTCTGGAAGCTGAGCGAGTAAACAGCTTTCAGAAGGCCAGGCGCTGTGGGCTGTTCCTAAGCTCAGAGACTCCCAAGGAGCAAGGGGCGGCCCAGCCGTTCTGCTTGCTTCGTGCTGCTTAGGCTCATTGCTGGTGGTCAGCCAGCTTCAGCCAGATTAGCGGCAGGATCCAACCCCGCGCGGGGCAAGTCCGGCCTCCTTTGGCCTGGAGGTTCTGTAGTTTACACATTTTTTTAAAGTCTGACGGAAATTTTCTCTCTGCTTGAGATAGTGCTAAAGAAGCTACACAAAACAACACGAACCTTTGCCTTCTGGCATCATTTTAGTGATTTAATACCGACGAGGTCATGATGATCTGAAACTTAGACCAGCAATTAAACGTAAACTTGAGTCAATTACAAGCGACAAAGTGCAGCTTCATTTGATGGTCAAAGGCCCTCGATACATGGGATCCATGGAGGAAATAACAGATGGAGGCCTTGGTGGTGGAAAGGTTGAGAACCATGAGCTATGAGCATTCACTGGTTGGATATGTCAAAACCCAGAACAGAACTTCTGAACTAGGAAGGGCCACACGTAATAGAGGCAACACCACGTGGGCCACGCTGTGGGTCATTCCCAAGACCAGGGCAGCAGCAGCAGGCTTGGGGCCCAGCCAAGTGTCCCTTCTGCCCTCCTTCCTTTTCAGAAGTGTCTCAACTAAACAAAAAGCACCCAGTATTGTTCACAAGACCTGGCTCGGGCTGCCCCATGCAGCCTGCGTAGACACTGGACAGGAGTCAGGAGCCGGAGGCATGTCACAGCTGCTGGTGCGCTGCTGCGGACGCGTGGGTCAGGCTGACAAGGGCAGCAGGGGGCCAGGCAGGGACAGGCGCGGTGGAGGGGTCAGTACACCGCGGAAGTCACGTGGGCAAGAGGACACAGACCAAGGGAACAGGCACCAAGACAGAGAGAGGGAGGCTTTGGAAGTGAGAAGAAAGGCGCCTCAGGGACGGGGGCTGACTTGTAGATCCCAAAGTCAAACCTTCTTTCTGACGCTGGAAAAGCCCAGCCAGCAAGCACCGGGTGGACTCCAGATTCCGATAAATGTTAGAGGAACGAATGCTGGAAAAAAGCAAAAAGGCAGAGAGATTCATAAAGGAAGATTTATACGTACACTCCCCAGGGCGGCTGGGAGGCCTTCAAGACTACGTGAGGGGAGCTCTGGGGCTGGGAAGTGTCCACCCCGCTGTGGGACGGCTGCCCTGGGGCCCTGAGGAAGCGTGACCCACCCCCCGCCCCGCACCACTCGTTCACAGGATCCTACCGTAGAAGGGTAACTGCCCCAGCCTGCCTGCGTGAGTGTGAGAACTTGAGGGGGCGGGCAAGGCAGGTTTTCTCACACTCAGGACTTGCACTGGGTGCAACATCCCTTTTCCAAGTGACTCACAAGACCTCCAGTGGGTGGAAGGTTGGAGAGAGGAAGGGGACGTCCTCCACGTAGCTCTTCCTCAGCCGCTCCCCCAGGGCAAACATCTGCTGCATGCCCACCTGGGTCAGCTGTCCGGCAAACACGCCCCCCTGAGGAGGGGAGCGGGAGAGAGTGAACCCACCCGCAGCCTGCCAGGCTCAGCCCGGGAACCGCACAGCTCCGCCCGCCGCGGCGCGCTCACCTTCAGCGTGGTCTCTCGGTACTGGGCGTCGAAAGGAGAATGCGGTTTCGGGCCACCAGCTAGATTGGTGACTGTGTAATCAAACTGAGTTTGGGGTGGGACTTCTAATAGCTGGGGCTTCCACTCTACCTGCTGTGGCCGCAAAAGACAGAAAAACAAAAAACAATACATTGTTTAAAAAGGATTCTTGAAACTTAGAGCATTAACAGCCAGCAGCACGTAGCTAGAATCACACCGACACCATTAGACCAGCGACCTTCCTACGGGAAGAAGGGAAAGAAACTAACTCCAGCTCTAATTACGGGAAGAAAGGACCATGACTTATTATTCCAGGGGTCCTCAGCCCAACATTTGGTGAATGAATGAATCAACAAATGCATGAATAAATGAATGAATACAACACAGCACAACCGTGACCATATACCTGTAAGACTTTTTCAGGAGTCAACATGCAGGGTTTAGGATCCCCCTTAAGGACTCTGCTTAATGCCCTTGGAACTACTACGTGTTCCCCCTCCTTTCATCCAGTTTCTCAAACAAGCAGCTGCCCTCTGAGAAACCTCTGAGATGGTAAATCTTCCTTCCTTCCTTGCAATCTGACTCCTGTCCCCACTGTACTGCGACGGTTTTCAAAACGTAACAAGTAGCCATAGGTCTCACAGCGCCAACTGCCCATAAGATTCTTACACTCATTGAGTCAGGTGTGATGATTTCAATTTTAAAGACAGAAGTCTTCTCCTAATCCCATACGCCAGCCCCTCCTCCCATCTGATGATGCCTCTCCCAGTGCTATGCTGATTCTCCTGGTCCCCAAAACCCAAGCCTCTGACTCGCCCCACTGCTCTGCATCCCCTCACCAAACCCTCTGGATCACTGGCTAGAAAAAAATGACACCCCCCCAGTCCTTTTATCTTACCGTCCGAACGTAAAGCCTCATCGCTTCTGGGAAAATCCTGTGACAGACTCCTTCCTCTCCAACCCCCCAGTCCGTCTATACAGAACCACTGATTAATCTTGCACAGCCACTCTTATCATATCAACAGATCTTTCCTAATGTTCCAAGAGATAAACATCTGCCTTCCAGGACTTCTGCACCATGCATGGCCCAGCCTCTGTCCTCAGCTGCCCTCCCCCGATGCTCTCCTTCCCTCCCCAGACCAGACCATGCTCACTGGCTTCCTCTGCGTCTTCTTCCAGCTTGCTTCCCTTTCTTGAAGGGACTCCTGCCCCTATATGCCCATCCAACTTCTCTCCAAGGTTCAGTGACAGTTCAAGTCCTACCTCCCCATCAGTGACTACTCTGGCTTTCATGGGCTGTCTTCTTATCTGAATTTCGGCAGCATTTACAACCAAAAGGACAATATTTAATTCAATTTCCCACTACTTCATCTTGTTTTAAAACTAACATTTGAAAACCTGCTCTGTCACAGACCACTGTATTTATCTTGGCCCCTCCCAGAAACATCCCAGGAGAGCGCTCCCGGGGTCTCTGGTTCTCTTCGCACAGAGGGAGCCCTACCTTCTTCCAGAAGGCATTGTCTCAGCTTACCTGCACCCAGTCTCCAACACCTGAGCCTCTGCCCCCACTGGTGCTGCAGCAGCTGGGGTCAGGAGACTGGGTGTTGAGAGCAGAGACCTTCTTCCTAGAATCTTAATCGCTGCTCTTTCTCTCCAAGTTCTAATCCTCTAACTTCCCTGCCTGAAACCATTCAAGGGCTCACAGCTGCGTGATGGCACCGGCCTCTCTCCCTTCACCACGTCTTTCCTGCCAGACACACTTCCCCTCTGGCCACACAACTTTGTTTCCTGTGGCACCATCCTCACACCCCCTGGCCTTTCCACCTCATGTTTCCTCTACCTGGAATTTTCTTTTCCCTTTCATCTGCAAAGACGTCTGCTCCCTCCACACAACAGCTCTCACATTCCCAGCAGCTGTGGCCATGGCACTCTCACCGCAGCCTCAGTGGCTCACTTGGGCGGCCTTTACCGAACTGTGTCAGAAGGGCTCCTTTACGGGTCTGCCCTGCTCAGGAGACTCAGCTTCCTGAGGACAGAGACTACGTCATCTATTGACCTCTGCGTTTTTGGATGTCCAGCAAAGGGCCTGGCACACAGTAGGCACAATTAATAGCTCGAGCAATCTGCTAGGTTCTGTGGAAGATACCAAGATTGAGACAACGCCTGCCTTTTCTGGATTTTCAGGTTAGTAGAGACAGCAAGCTATTGTTAGAGCAGGCAGAGCAAGGGGGACAAGGCCAAAATGGCAGGAATTGGGCAAACAGGAGGGGCACAGGCCAAACAGCCAAACACAGGACACCATACACTGTGTGAGCAATAGGGGTCCCTGGGCAGAGAAGGAAAAGCCGGACCCTCTGGGTGATAAGCAGCCACACATTGTGGGGTGACAAGCGGCCTGGAGGCCGACAAAAAAAGGTGGGAAAAAGCAGGAATCTCCAGTGTCTGAATGTAACCTTTTGCTCATTATGACTTCATTTCAAAAAAACTAGCCTTACGGAGTGGGCACCCAGAAGTATCCATCATGCTCCAACACCACAACACACCGATCCAGACTAAGTAAGGACAAAAGTCCCTCCTCCCTTCAGGAAGATGGAGTTGGGATGAAAATCAGGGAATACGGCCCCAAACCCTTCCCTCCCCAATGAATATTCCGTCTCTTCACTTTTACACTCTGTGTAACCAACTTACCCCAAAAAACTCAGGGCAGCCACTCACCTGAGTCTGCCCGCTCTCCCCCTGAGAGTGTACTATCCATCCCTTAATAAATCCCCACTTTACTTTCTTAACCTCCACGTGTTGTCTCTGAAATCTTTCTGGGACGGGACAAGAACCTGGACACCGGCTACGTCTACTGCGAACACTGCGAGTGTAAACGAGAGCAGCACTAAGACAGACCCCACGCGCTCCAGGGAACCAGAGGAAGGCCACAGGCGTTCAGGGGCAAGACAGACCTTCTCTTCTGCCGAGGATTCAGGGGGAGTTTCATGGGGATAACGGCATTTCAACTGAACAGGACTTAGACAAGCAGAGACTTGGACTTGAGAGTAAGAGGCAGGTACGAGAGAGGGTGGCGTTCAGAATTCCAAGAACAGGCAGGGAGCTGGGGCAAAGCAGCGAGGGTGGAAAATGTCTACAGGAAAGAAGCGGTTTGGTTTGCCTCAAACTGGGAATGGTTTTCAAACTTTTTCACTAGCAATTACCAAGTAGAGTTAGATTTGTCTATTTCAAGGCAAAACTGGAGCTTCTCTAGTTGAAGCAGGAGTGGGCACCCAGAGCCCCAGCCACTCAGCATCCCACTAGCCCTCAGCGCCACAGAATAGTCGGGAAGCCAGCAGTACGGATCGCAGCGGGAGCCGAAGGACTAGAGGCAGAGAGGCCAATGACGAGATGTCAGCAACAGTGGATGAGAGCCCAGCCTCAGCTAAGGCAGCAGGGACAGAAGCGGCTGGAGTCAAGACATTTGGGTCAAACATGGCAAGTGAGTAGATAAAAGCTTTTTTTGGAGGCTGTGTTGACAGGTACACAAGGAAGAATCAAGAAAACAATTACTTTGATTTTGGGGTCTGCGTGTCTAAGGTGACAAGGGTTATGGAGTGGCTTGTTGACTAAAACTAAGGCCAAGACAGAGGAACAGTTGACAAAATGAATCCAGCTTTGTACATTTTAAGTTTGAGACACTTCCTTTGAGTTCCCAGCACTCCCAGCATATTCCCGTCATTGGAATCCGTTTTCTCTCTCTCCTTCATCACATTATAAATTCATTTACAGCTGAGAATGAGTTAGCTATCCTTGTCAGCCCAGTGTCTAAGCAGAGGCCCTGACACCAGATCCACGGGGCCTGCTCAGCTGCACTAAGTCTCCTCCCGTGAGGCACCTTCACCAACAGAGGGCCTTCGGTGTCTCCTGGGAGATGTCTCCTGAGGTCAGGTCACGTCAAGTCCAGAGAACCCGTTTTCAGATTTCCAAGAATGGACGATACATCAGTTCCTTACATGGTGTCCACCATGCACATTCATTCTTGTTTCTGCTCTTCAGCTTTGGAGTTAGTGACCAAGACTAACTTTATAATATTACTCATTTATTTATACTCCACTTTCAAGAACTTAAAGTAGATGACAGCAATACCTAAAACATAGTAAGATAACCAACTCAACATAGGCAAGAAAGACAAAAGCAAATGAGCACAGGGACAAAAACAAAAGGGAGGTACGGTAATAAAGTGTCCCCCAAACTCCTAGTACAGAAATTCATATCCTTATTGTAGGTGGAGCAGAAGATTCAGCACTGAGCTTCCCGGCTTTTATGTACAAGGAGAAATTTGATCAGCTAGACAAGCTTAAAGATAAAAGCAAGCCAAGTGTTCAGGAGAAGCACACCATTTCTCATGCTAACAGACAAATTCCTCCCAAGGGTCCTCCTAAAAAGGATGGAGTAATACAAGGAGCATCTTTTTAGTAGGCACAGCAATGAGTTCTGCGGGATTGTTTCTCACTGTTTCCTCAACACAGAGTGACAGCATCTCACCAATGCACATTCCCGTGAAGATAATACTGTACTGGGATCGATACGCAACATTCCAGGTAAAAGGGAAAAATCTACATAAAAGTAAACAGAAACTTCCAGGTGTGGAATTTAGAATAAACTAATGGTCTGAAACCCTGCACACTGCACCCCAGTATCACTGGGAAACTTTTTAAAGTCACCCATGGCTGAGCCCCTTCCAGGGCTAATCACATCCAGGTCTCCTGCGGGTGTGGCCTCAGTGTTTTTAATGCTGTCCAGTCCAGATAATTCTAAAGCTTCACCATGAGAAACTTTTTACCATGTCTGGATGCTCTGGGCCAATTAAGTCAGAAGCTCTGAGAGAGAGACCAGGCATCAGTATTTTTTAAAGCTCCCTGGTGGAGTCCAATGTCCCAGCAAGGCTGAGAAGCACCACAGGAATGAAGGGACTGACTGGCACATCCTTCTGGTAAAGCTTCCTGACAAGCACTTCTCTTAGCCGCCCTTCGGACGAGTGTTAATCAACCGTGAGACTGACATGGTCCTTCCCGGCTTATCTACACTATCAAACAAAGATGGACCCAAATGTCTCAGTGAACAGTGGAGCTGGGATGGGTTGGACTTGACTTTATAAAAACTGAGGAATCTGCCTGGGTCTGGGGCCATCTTGTCATCGTCTAGAGAGGAGCGGAGAGAAATCCAAGAGCAGGACCAAATGCATCTTTTGCAAGTGTACTTGGAGCTAATCTAATGATCAGAAAAACATGGCAAATCGAGATCCAGGGCTTTATTTCCAGAGCAAAGATACAATGCTTTTAGGAGGACAGGTTAATTCAACTGCCAATCAAGCCATAAGAAAACTCAGTAAACCACCTAGTTTTAAACAATGATACTCTCTGAGGATTTGTGAGATAACTAAATAGAGTGACTTGTCACATACCCATAAACCAGCCAGACGTCTGGAAACAGCTACCCAAAGCAGTTTTAGTTTTAGGATTGTTGCCCTGTAGTCCTTTCTGCCTATAATAACAGCAGAACGAGGAAGACTGGAAAATCCCAATCATAGCTTCTATCAGACTGGAGCTTGGGGAAAAAAATTAAAAAACCTGAGAGAGAGTATTCAGAAACAAGTCACAGGAGGCCAGGGTGCTCACTCACGGCCCAAGCTGAACAAGAGCTGGTTCTACCCCTGGCTTTTCTGCACAAAAATTTATATGCAATAACCAAAGACGCTTAATGCATCTGCCTAAAGGCTGGAGAATGTGAGCAGACAAGGGGGGCAATGTGCCTTACCTAATTGCAAAATGAGCCCAAGGACTCAGATACTCTATATTCTGTGGCTACCAAGACAGAAGATGAATGAAGCTGGCACTCTACCTGAGCTCCAACTGCCCCTCCCAACATAAAGGCAGAGGATATCCATCACACACCCACTGGCTCAGGAGAAAGCTGCAAAAGAAACTAAATCTTTTCCAGGTCCTTCAGTGAGTACATACAATGTCTATAGGAGGTCCCGGCCCAGACATTCGGACCTTGATTCTCTGCTACAACTGATAACTTTGTCTTCGATTGTTATATCTTATTTTTCATACAGCTTATCTGTACTAAGAATAAATGGAAAAGAAAGGGGAGTACACAAGAGATGGGCCATGTACAAAACCATAAGGGAAATTTAGTGACCTAATATAAAAGGGCAAAGTAAGTGGGGCATTGTGCTGCACACCAGAAACCGACACATTGTCACTGACTGTACTTCAATTAAAAAAAAGAGAGAGAGAGGGAAAAAATGAGAAATAAAGGGGAAAGTAAGGGACTGAAAAAGGATCAAAGAAGGGAAGGGGAGAGAAGGAGGAAGGAAGGAAGGAGGGAAGGAAGGAAAAGTCCAGGTATCAGGGAGAATGTGGTACAGCCATACAGAAAGGCTACCTAGAAACCTGAAAACAGAATTAAGTGCCTGCCAAAGTGTATTTATTTATGTGGGAAAGTGCTTTAGAGGTTTGATTTCATGTGTGACCGGCTTTAATAACTAGGGTTTTAATCGTACTATGTGAGGACACAACCCTGAGGTTTTCGTAAAAGCAACTACCATCACGAACGTGCCTAAAAACAGGTTTAGACATTTTGTTGAACCTGCTCCAACATCAACCTGGAGGAGCAACAATGCAAAAGCACCTCACAGGTAAGCTTGACATCTGGAGGCCTGGGATTTCAGGTTGCCTGTTTATCTTCACTAGGAAGACAGGTCTTTAATCAGAGGCCTGCCTGCTATGAGAGGCCAGAGATCTTCACTGGCTCTCGCCAAGAATCAAATCCAGAAAGGGTAATCACTTAATAAACTAATTGTGCTTTAGTCATAATTATCCTGACCAAAACCAGATTAGACTTTACGACCAAGCCACAAGACTAATCAATTAAAAAAAATTTTTTTTTCCTACCTGAAATCCCTTCCACAACAGGGTCAGAAGTCCAAAATAAGAAAGGAGAGCCCCAAGATACAGCGCTTGTTACCAAAAAACCTTCAAGGAATTGCAGATGGTCTCCAGCAAACCCTGGGAGAAAGCTGCAGTAAACCCTGTTCCCCAAAGTATTAATCTCTGTGATCCTAGTTAGGGTGGTTCCTGTCGCAAAGGTCCCTGCAACCATTTCACAACCTTCAAAAAGATCACGCAGAAATGCACTCCACCCTTGTGCTCAAGTTCACACAAATATTAGAAATGCAGAATCGCAGGCCCTACCCCACACCTGCTGAACCAGAACCTGCATTTTAGGAAGCTCCCTAGGCTATTTACACGCACCGCAAGCAGCACAGCCACCGGGATGTCACTGGGAAGTGCCGGGGCTGCCCTACGCTCGGAGGGAGGCTCCGAGGGGGCGGGGGGAGGGCCAGGCCGGCACCTTTGCTCAAGAGCCGGGGGTGGGGGGTGGGGGAGGGACAGTTTTCCCTTCTTCTGGACCCAGCCCGAACCCTCTCCCTGGGAGCAAAATTCCAAAGCTGTGTGTTCGGGGCGAAGCAGCTGGCCCGCCACCGGTTGGCCACAGGGTCCTCGCCCCGCCAGACTCGGCCGAGCTCTCACCTGCTCCTCCTGCGGGAGCGGCTTGAGAGGACTCCGCGCCCCGTGTCGAAACACGACCTGCACCATCTTCAACTCCAGCTGGCTTGGGTCCACGGGACTCCGGTCGTCCGCCCCCCGCGGCTCGGCCAGGGCCACCCGCCGCTGGTGGAGGCAGTAGGCCAGCGAGGTCAGGACGCCCACGGGGGCCCACACGCGCACCCTGAAGACGCCGGGGATCATAGTGGAAGCCCCGCCGCGGCCCTCCGGGGAGAGGGCGCAGAAAGCGAGCGCGAGTCCTCCGCGGCGACGGGGCTCAGCGGCCGCCCCCAAGTTCCCGGGAAGCGGCGGGCGCGCACATTCAGCCCCCCGGGCCGCGGCCGCTGCGACTCCCAGCCCTGGCGGGGACCCCGAGCGGGAGCGGGAGGGGGAAGAAGCGGAGGTGGGAACAGCGAAGACTCCCCAGGAGTTTTAAGCCGGGTCGGGGCTGGCGCTCCTGCCGCAGACTGGGCCGGGGAGGGCTCTGCTCCTTAGCTTTCGCCCCCTAGGGAACCTTCAACTTGTATTCCAAGTTTGGTCTCCAGCACTCCTGAAGGGACGGTAACCAGCCCTGAGCTCCTCGGCAGCAATGACTCCTCTAACACAGATCTCTGGACTCCACTTTTCTACGAGTAAGCTCCCACCCACTTTCTCACTCACCCCGAGACCTGCCCCTAGTGGTCCCGCGCAGAGGAGCACGGGAAAGCGAGTCCCGCGGTGACGCCTGTCCGAGGGCTCTGAGTTGTGAGAACTACAAGTCCCACAAGGCTGCGCGCCACCGGGCCCTCCCTGAGAGGTATTTCCCCGCCCTCAGCAACGGGCCCGGGTTGGCGGGTTCAAAGTTCCGAGACTGGATGGCTAGCGTGTGGGAGCGAATCCCACAGTTTGCTAGGCTGATAGGGCAGGAAAAGGGAAGATGGGTAGAATCAGCTAGTGGAGTGGACTTATTTTGTCTGCGGAGAGTAGAAGACTTCCCTGAGATTCTGGAGGCTGGGATTCTGAAGTTCTGAGTTAAGAGGCGAGACACCTACTTTTTGAAGGATTACTATTTGCGAAGGGCGACACTGGGTGTTTTATACTTAATCTTCATTTATTGTCCCCCTTCTGTGTTTAAAGAGGCTTAAAACTTTGCAAACGTATAGAACTTTAAGCTCCTCAATGTATTTACTTACTTTCTGAATTTCTTGTGGAAAAGCCCCTGCCTTGTCTGTGGGTGTCGCAGTGACTAAGCACCTTAGCCAACCTTAATCACCTGCTGGTCTGTTTTTTCAGGAATATACAGCTACCCCAAGCCTGTGTTCCAGCAACAGAGTCCAGTCAAACCATCTGGGTCCATCACAAGGCAAAGATAAAGTTGAGAGGAGAGAGATTTGTGTGAGGCGAACGTGATAACCACTACACTACGGAAACGCCTGAGAGATTTGTGAAGAGAGTCTAAATATATTGATGTTGAAAAAACAATTCAGTTGAGTAAATTTGAAGATCTAATTGGCTTTACTCAACTATTTATGAATTGGACAGCATCTCATATAGCAGCTAGAAGGGTGTTGGGAGGGGGTTCTACAAAATGGAAGATTTTTAATAGACAGAAGGTGGGAACAAGAAGATACTAATAAAAGAAAGTGTTGTGTTTAGGCCAGGACTTGGGTGGGAGAGTGGAAGGGACCCCTCTTCAGCTCTTGGGGTGGGAGTAAGTTGATGGAGAGGGACCTCGTGACAGATTACCTTACTGGTGCTTAACCAGGAAATTCCAGACTAGTCCATTCACATTACATTTCAGGGAGAGGTTGAAATTGCAATTAGATCTAGGTACTAAACCTCCATACTCAGTCTAGGTTTGGTATTATGGGCTTTAGCGCAAGTGACGCCATTTGGGGCCTCTGTGTGTGTGTGTGTGTGTTTTAACAACACCCAACCAGTTCTTTCATCAGTCCAGATTCTGTCCTTGAGTCAAACTGGACCAGAATGTGAAGGCAACATCCTTACAGAGTATGGCTCTTGACTTGAGCTTCAACTTGTTCACCAACCTAGAAAGTTCTGAACGCCCTGCTGTTGGGGAAGGGTCATTTTGGATCGCCGCACATTGTCTTAGTTTTCCCCCTAACCTAGACCATGGACGCACTTCTCAGAGTCTTATTGTGTGTCCTGATATTATTAAAAACTGAAAGCTGATTTCTAGCCTAAGTAAGGTATTGGTACCAGACAACACTGCTTCAGAACCTGTGTAATGAAATGTAACCTCAGCAGGGAAAGCTGGTCTCAGCAATTGAGTGAAAATATGGTATATCTTTAGTGCAGAAGGGCCCTGGTATTTGAGCAGCTTCACCAGCCTGGGAGTGCTAGCTCATCTGAGCAGCTTAAGACAATGTAATGCTGGCATCTGGACAGGCCATCCTAGTCCACACCCTGTACCCTGGCAGCCTTAGCACAGACTTGCCAGGCATCGTGAGCAGCACCTTTGGCCTGTGTGAACTGGCCCTGCCAGGGTGCAGGTGCAGGTGTGGTTGAGGTGGGGAGCAGTGCTGGGGATGTCTTAGCAATAGATCTCTGCCGGAAGCCAGAGCAGGTGAGGTTGGAAAGTGACAGATTCCACGCAGTGGTTGAAAGCTGTGTTTGTCAGCACATGTGAGACAACCCTTGGGGAATCTTATAAATATTTCGTGTGTGATGTATAGTGGTGCTGGTGGTGTTAGTAAACTGCAGTTTAAAAGAAAGGCTAGAAATCCTGAAATCATGCTCTGGGGATGGCCCCAGAGTGGTGGGGGGCTGAGGGGGGCGGGTGCCACAGGCAGTGGGGGAACTGAACAACTGTTACTGTGACCATCCGGCAGAGGTGGCTTGCTCCCACCAAGCTGTCCTGGTACGGTTGCTTTAGTATTATGCAACTCGGTTTGAATTATGAGATTAGATAAGAAGCAACAGCATTCATTGCTTTATCTCCAGGAGTGAGCAGGATGCCTGGCTCATAAGTACTCTGTAAATATTTGCTGAATGGAATTGTAGGATATATCCTAGGAATGCTGTTGAGGACATTGTCCACTACTTGACTTACTGCTCCCTATGTAAATCTCATCTTGAGAAATTTGTTTTAGAGCAGCGTTAGCATTAGAACAAACATTAAGACGTATGAAGATTACTTTTCCTTCATTTTTGCCTTGGCTGACAGGGGGCTTGCAGCCTAATTTTAAACTTAACTACAGCAAATATTTAGAACCGACCGGCTGGTATAACTGCAATCTTTTCCTCCCAGGTATCAGCCTGGATTGGAAGGGAGCAGAACTAGAGGAAAAGTCAGTTAGGAGGCTGTGGCAGGCTTCCAGGTGTGAAACCTTTAGGAGGTAGAGTTAACAGTGGGGAGTGAATGGGAGGAAGGTGTCAAGGATGACTTCTGAGTTCCTGTGTTGGGCAACTTGCAAGAGGATACCTTTTACCTGGATGGAGGTTGAACAGAAATTAGCAAGTTAATTTTGAATATGTACATTTGGAGGTTACCAGTGAGGCATTTAAGTAGAAATGCCCTCTAGACTGTTGATTACATGGATCTGGAACTCAGGATAAATGGGGACTAAGAATATATAGGTGGAACTTCTCTGTTACTAGTTATTAAATGAAATAATAGGAGTGGATAAGATTCCTAGGGTGAGTGAGTAGAGTGGAAAGAGAAAAACAGGGCCAGGACAGGACTCTGAGTGTTACTGAGCAAGGGCTCACTGCACGGTGCACGTAGAAGCCAATGCTATAAAACTGGCTTTTGAGAAAAGAAAGCTTTATCTTGAGGTCGACTGACAAGGACACAGGAGGCGAGGTTCTCAAACATGTCTCTTCCATCTAGCATCCAGGGAGAAATTGAAGGGGTTCGGGGCATTTTGGACTTGGACTCTGACTGGCTATCTTGAATTAGCCCATATGAGCTACTCGTGCTGCTGGAAGCCAGATTTCTCTTGTTAAAGGACTTCTTACTTTGCAAAGGTCTCTGTCAGCTACATTTCTGGGGGCAAGTCAAGTTTGTGGGTTAGAATCTCACCCTAAGGGAGACCATCTAAAAGGTCGCATTCACTGAGTCCCAGACCCTGGGTTAGAGTCCGAGGTCTTGGATTTCTTTGCTTATCTATGTTTGTCTGTGATAATTTTGTTTGCTAGGAATTGGCTGATAGGGTTAACTATTGGATGACCGCAGCAAAATTTGTTGAATCTGCTTTCTATCGTTTTGCTCTGGTCATCCTGAGAAAAAAACCCTTCCAAAATGGGGACTGGCAACAGCACACATGCTAATTTAACAGGAAAGGGGGAAGAAATGAAGAAAAACGTGATCATATTAGTCAGTCTCAGGAATAGAGTAAGCACAGTAAAAAATAAATAGGAAATATAAAGAGTAAAATTGGGGAAATGGGAGCTAGGAGAAATATTTATTTCCAAATGGGAGGTCAGCATGGATTAAAAAGCACAGCTTTGGGTCTTTATAGAGTGATAACGAAAGGCAGAGATTAAGGAGAAGCGGAACAGGTGGGGCACTGTTACTCAGCAAATAGATATTTCTGGAAGGTTGGGATTGTTAAGGTAATAACAGGACAAACAGGGATTTTACATAATTACTTGCAGTTTAAATAAGAAATATAGTAGTCAGACTTGGCCTTGTAAAATAAAGCAAAAAAACCTTCCAAAACACAAACAAAACTTGATAAGAAAAATTTTACTGGGATTGTGGAAAATAACTATTAAATGTTAAATACATCTAGAGAATGGCCTGAGAAAGTTGAAGTATTTTGAAGATGGAGATAATGCTTCTAATGCCGATAATGTCTAAGACTATCCGGGCGCAGAACTCGAGCAGCAAGTCTGCTTTGTACCCGTTCTGCCTGTGTCTGTCCTCTTGGATAACTAGATGGGTCTTCTAGCTGTGTGTTTTCATTCTGTAATCACTAACATACCATGTTCTTGGTGTTCTAGCTGACTTCCTATTGTACCCGCTGTACTCGAGTTATAAAGAAAATGATTTTCTTCTGTCCCACTGCCTGGCCCCAGTATCACTGGAGTCAGGGGGAAAGTGGCCCGAGAGTGGGTCTTTGAATTATAAGACTGTTTGACAATTGGACTGGTTTTGCGAAAGAGAGGAGAAATGGGACGAAATCAGCTTTATCCCTGTTTTTGTGCAAGGGAAGAGCCTTTAGACAGCTGGATACATTTTGGTCTTCCTGACTGAGAATTTTAACCCTCTTCTGTAAGAGCCAAGCTCACAGGGAGTTAGCATTAGCTGCTTTCGAATGTGCGCGTGCACCTGTACGTATGCTGTCCGTACAGTGTATGCTGTCCTGCGCACTGTGATGAAGGACGTCCCCCAGGCAGCCTCAAGGCTCGTTCTTGGCTGGAGGCTTGCTTTTCGTGGAGGGCGGGCTCCGGACGGAGGAGTCGCGGCCGTCCTGCCGTCAGCTCTGCCTTGCGCTGCGGCTGCCGGCGGTCCTCCGCTCGGAGCCGGCTCGGTGGGCGGGCTCGCGCACTGGGCTCGCGACCTCTGACCGCGACTGGGTTTTCTGAGTTATGTTGTACACTTTTCAGCAGCGAAACCAAACTGAGCCTTCATATCAGAGTAAGAATGTGCAGAAGATATGTAAAATTATGGTTCGAAAGAAGACCCTCG